TCTCTGTCTCTGTTTCTGTCTCTGTCTCTCTCTATCCCTTCCTCCTTTCTCTGTCTCTCTCTCTGTCTCTGTCTCTCTGTCTCTCTCTCTCCCTCCCTTTCTTTCTCTCTGTCTTTCTCTCCCTCTCCCTTTCTCTGTCTCTGTCTCTGTTTCTGTCTCTGTCTCTCTCTGTCCCTTCCTCCCTTCTCTGTCTCTCTCTCTCTCTCTTTCCCACACACACATTCCCTTTCTCTCTCTCTCTCTCTCTCTCTGTTTCTCACACCCCACCGCCACTCCCTTTCTCTCTCTCTCTGGCCCTGACCCCCGAGGGCCTCTCTTCTCTCAGACATGGTAGAGATGATGCTGATGCAGAATGCGCAGATGCACCAGATCGTGATGCAGAACATGATGCTGAAAGTCCTGCCGCCCATGGCCTCTCCTGCCAACGAAGTGAACCCGCCTTGGCTTCGGTCTGCTCAACAGGTGGGCGTGCCTGAGAGGCTCAGCCAAGGTAGATGAAGACAAGAAGGGACAAGTCAGAAGGGACTGGCTTCTGTCTGCATGCTGGGGGCACTAGTGTCTCGAGGATGAGGATGCCCTGGCTGATAAACTGACCACACAAGCACCCATACCCTGCCCAGGCACCGTGATTCCCACACACCCAGCCTCTGGATGAGGGGGCTTCTCCCAGGGGGGCTCTTGCCCTGTGTGGAGATGACTGGACCTAGCAGTCAGTGCTCCCCAAGCCCTGTTCTTGCTCCATGGGGATTAGCCCGGGGAGCCGGGCCTCTCTGGCTGGTTCTGCAGGAGGTAGCCTGCTGACCCCGGCGGAGCCCAAGCCCATGACAGGAGCCAGCCTCTGACGTCCCTGTCGTCTGTGGCTCCACATTGTTGTCCAGGCGCTCATATGGGCTCCCGGAATTCTGTCCGTCTCTTCAAGGCAGTTCCACTGTCTCTCCATACCTGTCCCCTCCTTCTACCACAAATATTCTGGGGGAGCTAAGTCTTGCATAAAATCAAGA